ATTTGCTATTTGGTGGGAGATGGTGCAGACAAAGTAAAAAAGGCTATTCTACCAAAGCAGTGCCTCCAGTTCCATGAGCCTGAAGCAAAGCTGGCAGAACAGAGCAGCTTCCTATTGTAGAAGCATTTGCTTGTCCAAACCACTCCAGCATATTATATCTGTTTATAAATCTCTAAGTATCAGAAAAACTGAGATGCTTAAAGGGGTGCAAAATTGTTTTGGGACACTCACTTTGAATTTAAGATAAAGGATAGATTATGATATAAACTGCCTCAAAAATAGCCCCATATGATGATGAGAAATCCTAACTCTATACCATCAAACCTGTATTAACTTGACTGATTCTAGCCCATTTTCCTAGTACTATCTCTGAGTATGTTGGCTGCTTCCTCTAGTACTCTCCTTCAGCTCCAGAAATCCCATGTTGACCCTCCTGAACATGCCACACGTCCTTTTAGACCTCAGTGCCTTTGCACAGCATCCCCCTGCCAGCAACACCCTTGGCAAATGTTTCTGCAGTTTTCAAAAGCCAAGGTGTGGGGAGCAGTTTATGAGAAGCCTACATAAGCACAGCTGTGCTCAATGACAGGCTATTTGGCACAGCCCCAGCCGCAGAAGAAAGCAAGGCAGAATGCAGCTCAGCTGCTTTTCCTATGTTGTTTACATTCAGAGAAGTAGGAACTGCAGGTTTCTCTTGTTATAATGTCACGCGCCTCCCCAAGAACTATTGCTCCACCTCCTTGTTTACCACTGGATATAGAAGACTTGCTGAAAGAGGACACGAGGCTTTTTGATGAGAGGCTTTTGATGGGGGATTTTGATTAGCTGTCACTGATGCTGGCTGGAGTGTCTCCACCAGAGCAGCTTTCTGCACCAAGAACTTTATACATGGCCTTCAGAAAAGCTAAGCTAAAGAAAACATGGGACAGTGCAAGTCTAAGGACTGAGACTTTAAGAGTTATGCTAATGCAGTTTTTAGATGCTGCTGCTATTGTTTGCAAGTCTGAGCGCCAAGACTTTAAGAAAACTAAAGAGAGAACATGGGACAATGCAAGTCTGATGGGACAGTGCCAGTCTGAGGGCAAAGACTTTAAGAGTGATTATGCTAAATAAAACATAGGACAGTGTGAGTCTAAAGAAAGAGACTTTAAAGAACAGAAAAGAAGAGTTTAGAAGCAAGGTTTTAAAGAAAGACTTTAGAAGGAAGGCCTTAAAGAATAAAGATAGAAAAAGGAAGCAAAGGAAAAGAGGAGAAAGATAGAGAAAAGAAGCAACAAGGCTGTTGTGCGTCTCCATCCAAGTGCCCAGCACACCTGGCCCCAACTTTCTGCATATTTGTCTATTGTTTGTCCTTTCTGCATCTCCCGTCACCCCCAGTTAGCCCAGTTAGATTGGTAGTAACAGGACCAAGAAAATGCTCACTCCACCAAGGGAGATATCTTCCTTTCAAGGACCCTTCGTCTGCTACTTAGATTACCGCTTCTCTGGGATTCATTCAACACTGGGCTATTTCCCTTGGACACCACTATCCTTCTTTTGCTTTGCTTCTCTCCATCCTGAGCCAGGGAGGCCAGAGGTTCAGTCTCTCTCTCATTTGTGTCCTCCCTGCCTGACATGTAGGAGACACTCAATATGATGTACATTAAACACTTCCATCAAAAAGCAAGTGATTCTTAGTAAATGTGGTAAGCAGGGTTTAGGGCATGAGCCTGTGCTTCCTCCTTTCTAGAAGGAAGGGGATGAGTTACATCCCTTCTCAAGCTTCCCAAGCCCCTGATTAATATTCTTGGATTCTCTATCTTAGAATCCATTTAAACTTTCCCTCCCTACATTCTGACCACAGTACTTCTCACAATGAAAACTGCACGTCTGGCAACTCAATTTAATTATTTCTGGAGCTTGAGTCATACTGTTCTTATCTGCCCAGGAAGAAAGAAAGATGCTAGTACAGTTTTGGGTCCACTTTTTGAATCTATGTTATCCCCAGGGTAATAACCAAGGGTAGTTTTTTTCTACCATTTTAAGTCTGGCATTTACCCCTATTTCACAAGCAGAATGTTTTTATTTCACACGAATGTTAAGTCTTAGTTTTCTGTTTCTTCATGTTAATAGCAATTTCTATGGTTGCCTCAGTCACTATCAGTGATATATATAGTAGAAACAGATGCATATTTTTTCAGAATTTCTCAACTTTGGCACTATTGGCATTTTGTGTTGGGTAATTCTTTGTGTGTGTGGGGGGGTGTATTAGTCAGTTTTTCATCTCTGTGAAAAAATGCCTGAGAGAATTCAACTTAAAGAGGAAACATGTATTTTGGTTCATGGCTTCAGTCCAAGGTCAGCTGACTCCATTGCTTTGGGCCTGAGGCCAGTCTGAACATCATGGCAGAGGGAGTGTGTAGCAGAAAAGGCTGCTTGCTTCATGGTGGCCAGGAAGCAAATAGAGAATGAGGAAAGAGACAAGGGGTAAGATAAATCTTTCAAAGCCACACCCCGAGTGATCTGCTTCCTCCTGGGCCCCACCATCAATGGGTTAATCCACTGATGAAGTCGGTGCCCTCATGATTGAATTACAACTCAATAGCGCCACCAGCTGGGGACCAAATCTTCAGTACATGAGCCTTTTAGGGGACAGTTCATATCCAAATCATTAAAAGGAGCTTGTCCTGTGCATTGTGGGATGTTTAGTAGTATCCCTGGTCGTTACTTACTAGATGCCAGGAGTGCACACACACACACACACGCACAAACTCACACACAAAATAACTATAAAAATGTCTCGACATTGACAAATATGGTGGGTTGAGGACCACTGATAAACACTAAAATATATAGAGATCAGCACATGTAGTTTATACTCTCGTATTCACATAGCCTTGGAAAATCTTGCTTAGCTTTCATTTATTACACAAAAATCACGTTTTAGAAATACTTTTCCAAAGTAGCTGGTGTGATACAATATGGATGGAAAGGGTATAAAGTCACAGCTGAATGAAAAAGGTAGCCTTTCTGGAAAGGTGACAAAATCAATGTTCCTTTTCAGAGATGAAGCTTTCCCAGAGATAGGTCTGTCCCATAGCTAAGAGAGCCTTACAAATGAAGTAAGGGATCACTCCTTCCTCTTTCACATCTTTTGGCTTCAAGCATCCATTTCTGTTGCCACATATGGGAGACAGATAAGATGGACAAAAATCAAGCCCTATTGGAAAGTCCAGTTCTCACAATGCTGGCTCATTTATACCTCTCACAGGCATGACTAAAAGTAATAGACCTACTGTTTGGAGATTTCTTACTACATACTGAACACTATCCTAAACATTTGACCTATATCATTTGTTTTAGTCCTTGCAATAATTCTACCAGGTAAGAACCATTAATGTCACAGTTTGACACCTGAGGATCCTGGTGTAGAAGCATGAGTACACACAGCTGCTAGAGAGTAGTGCTCACTCTTGAACACAACAATGTGTGGCCTCCCAAACAACTTGCAGATTCACTAATTGAGGGCCTTAAATGACTACTTCATAAGCTACTTCTATCAATGACTTTTCTACTTTTTATATGATCTGGTTGAAAATGAGAGAGGCTGGAGAAGGCAAGGATATACTTGAAGCTGTAGTGGAGGCGACCAGAACCCTGTTGGGAAGGCTGTTCTCATTCTGCTGGCATGTGTGTGTGATATAATGCATGCATTCTGACTGCATTTTTATAGCAATTAAGTGGAGGATGTAATTAGTTCTCTTCTATTTCAAATAACAGAGTAGGCTGTAAAATATAAAGTGCTTGGCTAGATTATTTCTCCCCAAATTTAAATGTTCAGAGGAAGGAGTGATTCATCCTAGGCTCTGGTCATTTGTGAAGTTTCCCCCTTGCACTGCTGTTGAAGTATGATCTAGGGCCAACTTTAGAGAGGAGAAATTCCATGCAGGTGGTACCTTCTCAGGGTGTCCCACTGGCTTCCCATTGCTCTTCATGGTTCTGTGTCTTCTACCCAGACAGTTGAGTGGCCCATCTCCATTGTCATTTCTCTTACTTGGTGGACTATTGAATATTTTTAGCAAAAGTGTGACTGCTTTTCAGAGGGTGGTGAGGAGAGTTTTCGGGGAAGCCTGAAAAGGAGACTGAGGCACAGCCAGTACAGGCCAGCCCTCCTGGGGATTCCCAATGCCATCCCAATGGTCTCCATTGTTTCTCTACCTCCTCATGCCTGGGGTGCACAAAGCTTTCCCCAGCTTAGAGGGCCTAGTTGGAGGGGGGCTATGAAAGGAGGGAATCCCTTCCCCACCTGACAGGACATCCTAGACTCTCCTGTCATTCTAAGAAACCTTACAGTTCCTTCTGACAGGCCTGTGCCATGGTTGGAGCCAGAGACATGAGAACCTGGGACTCAAGACTAATGCAGAATGTAAAGAATTCAAGCTGAGAGAATGACTTTATGTTGGGAGGAGGATATAGGAGTTTTCTGAGTGTATAAAGAGCCTTCCACATCCCTGGCCTTCCCTTTTGTGGGTGTCAACGTCTGTGGGAAACCTTCTTCTCCATGTGGCACATATCATCACATCATTCAGGAGACCTGTTCAGTATTGTTTCTTCCATGTGGAAATGATTGATCCCATCTCTGTACCTCACCTAATTCAGTAAACACTTATTGAATGAATGGGTAATTCTTGTAGTAGGAGCTACAGTCTTTTATTATAACAAATGACCCTTGATTGAAAATTCAAGCTGAACCAAAGGATGTAAACTTTTCAATTTTGAGTATTTATCCATCCATCACTCTTTCAACAAATATTTTTGCCTATAATGTCAGATAAAAAGGCACTGTGAGAAAACATGGAGCAGGGCAGAAGGGTTATGAGTGATGATGAGATGAGGTGGGCATGGTGCCATTCAAGCCAAGGCTGGGCTGGCAACATCTGAGGTTGAACATGGCTGGGGAGCAAGTCATAGACACATCTCGGGGGAAGAGGCTCCAGTTGGAGGGCCCAGCAGGGGCAAAGGCCCTGGTGTGAGAATGAGCTCAATGTGCTTGAGAAACCAAAAGGACAGTGCTAGGTAGCTGGGGGCCAAACCATGAAAAGCTTGATTGGCCATGAAAAAGTTACTTTGCATCATTCTAAAAAGAATTAAAGGTGTTGGGCAAGAAGAGACATGGTTGGATTTATATTTGTGAGGCTTCTTTTCCAAGCACTTGCACCATTCTCTATTACTGCATTGATCAAACAAAGCATGTGTTAGGACTGCCCTGGACACTGGGGTGGCAGATGAAGGACACAGTACATACATGCCCTCAGGGATCTTGCAGTCTGCTGTGGAAACCATTAGGCAATGGGCCACTCCAGCACAGTGAGCTAATATCAGCACAGGGGAAGGCAACAGACCCAGGATGAAGAGACCCAGAACAAGGGCGTAGGAGAACATTACTGCTAATCTGTCATCAAAGCAGTACACGTGCTAAGGGATTTGCAACAGTGAGACCTGCTTCAGTCTGAGAGAGCTAGAGGGAGGGTCTCAGAGGAAAGAAGTTGGGGGATTTGGGCGGAGTTCTGAAAGATGAGCAGCAGCTGGTCAGGAAAGAGCTAGGTTGAAGCCCAGGAAGGGACCCAGTGCACAGTGGTCACGGATGGATCAAGAAGAGGGAGCACCATGACAGGTACAGCTGGGTTGGTCCGAATGCTAAGAGTGTGGTCCTTGAGGCCATGGTGTGGGCTTGTGTCTTTGCTCCGAGCACAGTGGATGCTATGAATGCATTGGCAACTGAGGAGGGGCGTGATTCTATCTCTGACATAGAAAGCTCACATTGGATGCAGAATGGGGAGTGTTTAGGAAGAGGGCAATGCTTGGAAAAGAACAGTTGGGAGCTATGCCCAGGCACAGAAGAGAGTGGGCATGATGGGTATGAGGCAGAGTGGTAGATAGAACACCTGCAAGAGGTGGAGCAAAAGGGCTGAATCAATAATTAGACGGAGTGTGATGGAGGAGGGTGCCATTGTGCTGTTTGGATAATGGAGGATGATGGGGCTTTTGTGGGAAAGAGATATGGAGAAAAGTAATATGATATGGAAGAAGAGACATGATAGATCATGAAAGATCATGAGCTCCTTTGGGGGCAGTTGGAGACTCCTCCAAAGAGACCTCCAGTAGGTAGCTGGATAGTTGCTACAAAGCTCCACAGAGAGGAGTGAGCAGGAGCGTTAGTTGGGGGATAATTCTGGCAATGGGAATGGATGGGATGGCTGAAGATCATGGGTCCTTGGGGACTGCCTGACCCCTCACCAGAAATGTACCCACATCTCAGAATTGATCCACTGTGGGCATAGGCCATGGTGCAGAGCACTGGGAGTCACTGGAGAAGGTGGGCACCCTCGCTGACAGGAGGGCCTTTGGACAGTAGCCTCCATGATGATAAATGAGCTTAGGAGTCTGTCTGCCTGCCACATGCTTCCCATCACTTTCACTTTTTAGTTGCAGGTGAATAATCAGGCATGTTTTCTACTCCTTCAGGATTAGAATGAGTTTATTCCGCTGCTTCCTCTTGGCTTCATGCCCTTGCCATATGAGAAGCAACAAAGGGGGGTTGTCTTTTTTCCCCTTACATACTTGAGCTGCAGTCTTTTCACTAACTTCACTTTAGAAATATTGCATTTGACTTTAAAAGGGTTACTGTGTTATGGCTTAAAGGGTTTTGCCATTTGGGTTTCCACTTTTTTCTCTTTTTGGCAATTAGGTATAAGCTGCTATGAGCATTTGGCACAGTACCTATTTGAGTACCTGCTTTCATTTCTTTTGGGAATACACCCAGAAGTGGGATTGCTGGGTCCTAGGGTTTCATTTTTGGGTTTTTTTTTTAAACAACATTGTATTCCACAGAGACTACTGTTTTATATTCCCACCAACAATTCACAAGGTTTCCAGTTCTGTACAGCCTTGTTGTTTTCTGATTTTTAGGTAATACTCATTCTAATGTGTATGGAATAGTGTCTCCTACCTTTTTTCTTGATGGTACTGGGGTTTGAACTCTGGGCCTCATGCCTGCTAGGAAGGCACTCTGCCACTTGAGTCATACCTCAAGCCTCCAGTCCTTTTTGCTCTGGTTATTTTTGGAGATAGGGTCTCACCTTTTTGCCCAGGCTGGCCTGGACTTCAATCCTCCTGTTTTAAGCTACCCATCATTGCTTGGATGACAGGCATGTGTGACCATGCCCAGATTTTTCCATTGAGATGGGGTCTCACAAACATTTATACCAGGACTGGCCTGGAACAACAGTCCTTCTAATCTCAGCTTCCCAAGTAGCTAGGATTCCAGATTTGAGCTACCAGCACCTGGTTTCTCCTACCTCTTGATTCCAAAAATTCTGACCCTTTTCTGAGTCCATACTTAAAAATGAGCAGATTGAAATCATAACTTCCACTTTTATCAGTGGAGGATGAACATTAAGAGATCTGTTTGCGGCCTCCCACCCCAGTTGTAAAAGCAAGGTAAGCCCACCTTATTGAAATGCACATTGTCACCTGCGAAAATGACAGGAAAATTGTATCTTTGATAATTCAGAGCTGTTGCAATCGAAAGTGAAGACATGTTTTTTGTTTTTAAATATCGTTCAGTGAAAACTGATTAATATTCATAAAGCTCTTGAAAGGAGATTGTCATTTGGTATTAAGGCCATTATGCTTGTCACTGGGCTGCAGAGATTAAATTGCCCCTGCTCTTCTGGTGCTCTTGAGATAAACTGCATTGGGTATGAGTCCCATCACTCATGGGCAAGTCTGTGCTCCTGAAACTGAGATGTGGTTATTAGAAGCACAGAAGTCAGAGGGAATGCTTTGAAATTCAGAGTTTGGGGAGGTGCATTTGCATGCACTTCCTGGAGATAATGTCTCTGGGAACAGAACACCAGCAGCAGCAGGCAGTCTCTTGCTGTCCGTGAATGCCACCAAACACAACTGACGGAGACGTGACATTGAGGAGAGGCTGCGCTGTTTGTTTTCAAAGTGGGCAGCTTGTATTTCTTGATGCTCTGTCCCAGTGACTTTCACATTAACAAAAGCCAATGGGTGCTTTGGAAATATTCAGTCTCCAGCAAGGCGAAAGACCTGTTTTCTCACACATCTTGGAGAAAGCTGTCCATCTGACTGTCAGAACCCACAGGGCCCAAAGCCACTGAGACAGAAGGGGCTGGCTTCTTTACGGTGGCCTGGATCTTGATGGGCAGACAAATCTGTCTAGTAGAATGTTTTTTAAAAACAAAAAATGAAAAGTCACCAGCATATTGGGGATGATCTGAGTCAATATATTCTCCACCAATAGGAGTCAGGTGAAGTAGAAGAGGTTAATATATGGGATATATAGGTACCCTAATTTGGTTGCCATGAAAACCATATAATTATATTACTCCACATAATAACCTTTTCTACTTTTGAACCCAAAGGAATGTTTTACTTTCAAATTAGATCTTGAAAACTGTTAACAGTAGGACTTTAAACATGTAGTCATTTTAGAAGAAAAGTTTTTATGATATCTCCTTTGTCATTGGGAGTAAAGGAAAAATTTAGTAACTTTTTTTTTTTAATTTCAAAGCCCATTTTTGTGGATGGAAAAAACAAGCCATTTTTAACTGAAAAGTGTCAATATGGGTGTGGATATATATTTTCCTTAAATGTATTGAGAACAATACAACCAAAAATGTAGATTATATAATGCAGGTTTTCAAGGATCATGCCAAATTTAGGTCACTTAGTGTTTATCAGATCAGACAGACCCGAGGCTTCTGTGTGGATAGCATTCAATTTACAAATGGCCTGGCACAGCGTGGGGCTGCCACAGAGCAGAGTAAAGCTTGACTGGAGGCTTTTAAGTATCATAGATGACTGTAAATTCTGTTCAAGATTTAGAACAGACACTTCTAAAGAAGCAAGCCAAATTTTATAGGCATCACCTTGTGGATTGTTAGCAATAGTAAATGCTAAAGCAATTATTTTCTATAGTGGTCAAGTCTACCACTTGACCACTGTTTTTATCAGATTAATTTTAACATTCTTATTTTTTAAGTCAGTATTTTAAAAGAGCACTATATCATATTCAAAACCCAAAATTAAAATTTTCTATTCAGGCAAATTTAGTTTATTCTCTTTGCAACAAGCCAAGTATACTTTGTGTGTGTGTGTGTGTGTGTGTATTTGTAGTCCTTACTTAAATTTTTAAAGTTTTGATTAAAGCAGAGATGCAAGTACAACCAACAAAATCTGGGATATTTTGAAAGTACCAGTAATATTTACACTATAAGGCAAAATCCTCTTGCTATAAATTAAATCTAATGTTTGATTTGACCTTAAGAGTAGCAGGCTAATTCCTTTTGAATGTACATGGAAAATATAATTAGATCTGCTTTGGGAATACCAAGCCAGTGTAACTGCCACTTACTTGGGAAAATAATGAAAAAATTAATTGAGAAAAATTATCACCTTCCCCTCAATCCCCCCATCAGAAAAAAAAAACCTATTGAGATCAAATAGCAGAAAAGAACATCCCAGTCACCTTAAAAGATCTCTTAGACTCACAGATGGTAAATTACAGAATTGACAGATCTATCTATATCCCCAAATCAACAACTATCAAGACCCTAATGGGCCACTGGACTCTAGGGCAGATGTCAGCTATTTTTAAATGAAAGCTCTTTGATTGTGCGGTGTGATTAGGTTTCTTCTCCACCTGAGATCATTGCTCAGCTCAGGCCCCTGAGCACTTTTCTTCTGATAAAACAATGGTGTCACTTCTCTGATAGTATTGATGTTTTTTTGGCTTATAGATAGCATGTTGATAGGTGTTACTCGGTGTCCAACAGCTGGAAAAAATGCAAGTATAGTAGAGAAAGTTTTTGGGTGGGAATGAACAGTGCAGCTTTCAAGTTGATCCTCCACCTCATCAGTGAGCTGTTACTAGTCTGCAGTGAGCTGCACCATCAGATAAACCAACCACTGCTCAGCTCATGTTTTCATAATAGCAGCT